TGAGTGTTTATATGACTTTTGCTACCGTCTGAAAAGAAGATTTCTGAAACTACGGAAATTCCGTAGCAGTTGGAGGGCATGTATTTGTTTGCTTAAAATTGAAGTTTTAATTCCATTTTAATACCACTGGGAAAAATGATAATGGAAGGGATTAAAAGTTGGCACGTCTGCTTATACGCATTAAATCTTCAATTTAAAGATTTAAAAAAAAATTCAATCCACCAACTTCAACCGTCTTTACTTGAAATTCTATTAATTTTTAAAGTTACCACTACGAAAAATATCAAATAGTTTCTGAAACTATAGAGATTCCGCAGTGGAATATCTAAATACACATTTACTTTGAATATAATTAATAATTGAACTCTCAATAAAGTTAAAACTCTTCAATAAACACTAGTTAATCATTAAGTGAGTAAACTTGATATGAAAAAATATCTTTGATATGAGAGAAACGTTTAAACACTTTTTAATTAAATTTTTTTAACATGATGCATCATTCAGAGATGCCAACTGCTCCGGACAAGCCAAAATAATTATTAAAAAAAACGGTAAATAAGTACAAAGTAAATTTTGCAACTATTTGACTATTTTTGCTTGCTTTTTAAAAGTTATAGCATAACATAAGTACTGTAAAGTGGTGAATTATATAAGTCTACAAATTATTTAGAAGTAGTGGTGGATAAAAATCTACTAAATTGAATTTATTGAACCAAGAATCACAATTGATGAACTACCACTTTAAAATATATATTTGCTGTCCAGAGCAAGTTGACATCTCTGTATCATTTACAGCTTTTATAAAATGTTATTTCTCTATAAAAAATGTTTGCCATTTCTTTCGGAACTTTTATGGAAGATTTTATTTTAACAATGTGATAAAGTCTTTGAGGAGCGCCATTAGTGGCGATTTGAAAAATCCCTTCATATGTGTAGGCGTTCGTCATTGTTAGTGTGTTCATAGTTTCATACCCACCTACGTACTAATAACGCAACGTGGGTAGTGAAAGTACAAGTGTGGGTGGATCCAGCTTTTCTTTCGTCGTCTGCTACGTGTCTCGTACTTTTTAGGATCATTTTTCTTATAAAGCTTAAAGTGGCTGTGAAAAAGGAATAAAAGTTCTCTTTTTCGTCTTTAGATAGCCCCTTCTCTGGAGATGTCACAGGATGCGTAGCCAGATTTTTTCAACAAAAAAAAGCACCGTTTAAGTACTTTTTAAGCACTCAAAAAATATTTTCAATTACTTTCCGGCAAAAATCATAATTAGGATCTGTGCAGTATTAAAAATTGTTTTTTTCTATCGTTTAAAGTTTTCAATTTATAAGCATAAAATCAATAAAATTCAAAAAAAAATTTCAAACATTTTGCATAATCATAATAAAATAACTGCTTTATGATAACTATTGCAAGGAAAATTGTAAAAATCATGCTTTAATTGTAATTCAGAGGGACAATCGACACAGCAAAGAAAAAAAAATCTTTTTTTTAAAAGATGGAAAATTAAGCATTTTTTGCAAACCCTGAATAAAAGAAGCACCTATAAGAACTTTCTTAAATGGTAAATCAAAAATAAGCACCTTTAAGCACTTTTTAAAAATGCTGCGCACCCTGTGTCGTAAAATGTCAAAATTCCGTTCGTAAATTGCCTCATTCGAGTAAAGCTACCGCTTTCCAGTGGATTCATATCCACTATGGGAGGGCTGACGAAGTAGCCAAAAGTGGAACCACAGCACAATACATCTACAATAACCAGGTTACTTTTTCAATATTAAAAATAATTTCTCAAAGAAATGTCTAAAAAATTTTTAAGTTACTAAAACAGTTGATGGAAGCAACCTATTACAAGAAATAGACCGAACCAAACTAAGAAGTTAAACCAAATGAACTAATAAAATTAATTAATCCAAACACCATGAACCAATTAAATGAAAGCTAAATTTAAGCATTTTTCGGTAGTCTTCCGAAACTTTAGTTATCATTCATTTGTTTTTTCCAGGTTGGAAGATTTTCCAGGAAGATTCTGCCCCTAATCATAAGTTTATGCGGTTAGCACTTCTGTTGGTTCTGCGCTTCGCTTATTTATTTTAAAACAGATTTTCAAAAAAATTTCACACTTAAGAAGATTTTTTCTTATTTTTGCTATTAAGGTTAAAACTTTTAACTGTTGTCCTAGTTCTTCTAATTTAAATCTAAAGTTATTTAATTATCTATTTTCAACTTAAGTGGGAGCTGAGATAAGAAAATACCCTATTAATTTCAACATTTATGAACAACCGTTAGTTTTTAATCTACTCTTTTCGCATCAAGTCAGTATAAAAAGTTTGGCGTTTATGAGTCTCTCAGTCGTGCATCGAAGCTTTTTGAAATCCTACATTAAGCAAAGATGAGACCTTAACTTGTTCGTCAACAGAAGATGACACATTAATTAACATAAAACATTAGCAACATAACCAATTTGTATAATACAGTTAAGAGAAAAGCCCTCCTGTGGAAAAGATTTTTGGTATTATAAAATTAAGTATTTTTTCTGATAGATAGATTACATTAGATTAGTTAAAGTGATAGTACATCATTTTTTAAATAAAGCAGACATTATTTTCTATGACTTACTACTTCAGCCTTTAAAAAGTTCCTTGCTAGAAAGAAGCAATGCCAAAAAAAATTATGCCAGATCTAAATATAAATACTTATATTAATGGTAAAATTATTTTTCTCTCGCGAGCTTTTAAGTTTTGACATAGCCAGCCATGTCAACGCCTTGTTAAAAATTAAATAGTGGTAGGAGACTTAAGATATTTTTCGATTATTTTTCTTCTGTGAAATCAGATATTTCATCTATCAGGGCAGTTTAAGCAATTTAAGTAATATTATTTAGTTTTAAACTGAAAATTTCATTAGTTTTAACATGAAGCAAAATATAATTATGTTGTTAGTTTTGGATTAAAATAAAAATTCTGTCTGTCGGTTTAAAGAAAATAGGATACAGTTTTTAAAAAAATTTTTGGACGCTAAAATCGCAGCATAGCCCAAAATATTGAATTTAAAAAAATAAACATAGATTTAATCACAGATTTTAGAAAATGGATCAAGTTCAAAATGCAAGTTTTAGAGAGAGCACAAAGCAAAAAGTGCCTTTTCAATGATAAAAAATATACAGAAAACCAAACAAATCAAGAATTTAATCATTATTTATTCAGGGTTTATTATTTTTTTAAAAAAATTTACTTGCTGCACACTACGAACTTGAAAAAATATTTTATTGGCAATCCGTTTCTCGCAATAAGTTCTGTAAAACTTTTTCTCCTTTTTAGCAGGTTTCATTGGGAGAAAACAACTTAACTAGTGCTCCGAGTACTTTTCGTTATTTTATGGGTAACGAGTTTTCATTTAATCCTTCTTAAATCTATCTATTTTATCGAATTTTAATAACAAAGTGAATATTACTTAACTGCAGCTGCACTTTGTCATAGTAAAAGTATGAAAAATCTCTGAATTCATAAAATTATTCAAAAAAAAAAAAAAAA